GCTCCACAGGAGCAGAGATAAGCAGAGATCAGGTTCAGGAACGGTAACATATTCACGTGGCTCAACATAGCTTCCATATTGCCTAACAAAGACCTTCGAAGTCACTATTTAACGGACGTGTCTGCGAGATAGGGACTTGAACGCAAAACATGGCCCAACGAGGGCTCAAAAGGGACTGGAATAAAGTAAAGAGATTGTCTAACATAGCCCTAGAAGTCACTATCTAAAGGACGTGTCTGCGAGATAGGGACTTGAACGTCGTAAACATAGCCCAACGAGGGCTCAAAAGGGACTGGAATAAAGCCCCCCCCCAACGTGACCGAACATAGCTTTCATATTGCTTAACATATCTTTAGAAGTCACTATCTAAAGGACGTGTCCGCGAGATAGGGACTTGAATGTCCGGATATTTGGCTCCACAGGAGCAGAGATAAGCAGAGATCAGATCCAGGAACGGTAACATTTTCACGTGGCTCAACATAGCTTTCCATATTGCCTAACACAGCCCTCGAAGTCACTATCTAACGGACGTGTCTGCGAGATAGGGACTTGGCTATGTTAGGCAATATGGAAGCTATGTTCGGCCACGTTGGGGGGGGGTGACTTCTGGGGCTATGTTCAATGGAAGTACCTACCTTGACCCGTTCCTGGAGCATGACTGCAGTCTTTGAGCCCTCCCATGCGGTGCGGGCGGTTACCGTCGCGAAGCGACGTGAATAGAATCATGCGATTAGAGTGCTATGTTTCGAAACAGCACCCCCAAAAAAAGAATAAGAACGCAATGAGACGCAATGCATTAAATTTATTAAGAAGAAAACAGAAAACACGGAAGTGGCCTTTGTCCACCAAAGCAAATCCAAGGTGCGCTCCCAGCAGCGAGCACGTTCCGAAGCACCCAGCGTGGCTTGCAGCATGGGAGCACTGGCCACAAACACGAACAAACGAAAGGGCTGGGTTCTTTCTCATGGGCACGGTGCAGTAGAAATGGTTCTGATGCCTTACATTGCCTTGCAATCTTGAAAAAGGTCGCCTTGAAGCATCTTGCTGAGAATCTTGAGATGCAGCCGTACCTCAACGAGCCACTGAGGGAACATGCTTTTGTGGTCAGGCCTCACAAGCTAAAGGCCTGCAACACCATGTGCTTGAACCAGTTGCAATGCTTGCTCCCATCTAGCAAAGCCCTGGCATCGGCCCGATGGCACTGGCGTTTGCACGGATTGTCTACCGGCTCTACCGTGTGTCATTGGCAAGTCGGCAAATCAGGAGTCCTTGAGCTTGTGATTGGACAAGTGTACAGTATTCTAATAAACAATGACTGATTTTAAAACAAAAAGCAAAACAAATATTTTAACATGAGATCTATATATATACCCATCAATATCCATATATATGTATACATTTGTATGTAAATGTGTGTGCATATGTTTGCTTGAGCGGTTTGGGATCCAGGACGGTACCAGCACGCCAGCTGCCACTCCAGTCCAGCTGCCGACAAACTCCTACTTCTGCTACACTATGGTTATCTTGGCAAGAAGGAAGTGTTGCGATAGCTTGGGCATTGTCAGTGTGTGGAACGGGCACAATGTAAATCGCAGTGGTTGCCCATGTTGAGGAACAGACTAACCGGCCATGGCACGCTACATCACTAGTGTGCACGCCTCAATTTCCAACTAGCACGTTGTGCCTGACTTCGCGGACCAGCTGAGTGCCTGGAGGATAGCTGATAGCGAGGCCAGTGTGAAGAGATCGACTCCCAGCTCACTGCCTGTGAAGCTCAGTTTTTGTGCCAGCCAGCCAGCCAGCCAGCGAAGCCAAACCAGCCACTGCCACACCCCCGGGGCCTGTCTCGAACGTCCTGAGCTGCTTCAAAGAAATGTCTACCCAGAATGCTCTTTTGATTGTTCTCTATTAAGTTTGTTCTTGCCTTCCCTTCTCATTTCTCCTCCAGCATTTTTATCTCCGACTTTATTTATAAAAATGTTTCATGTGGTAAGGCCTGAATCCTTGATTCAAGAAAATTCAAAAAAATTCAAAAAACAACAACTGGAAAAGTCAAAGCCAAAAAATGAGAGTCAAATTGAGACGTCAAAAAATCGGAAAACATGAAAAAACAAATATACAAGCAGTTCCCGGGCAAGCCGGCGGCGGAAGTTTCCTATAAGAACAAATTGACCTAT